AGTTCTGAAAGTGTTGGATTTTCTGGTGGAACATTTGGGATCTCTTAGGTATAGTATCATATCATCTGCAAAAAGTGATAGTAGGAGTGGAGATAGTGGACATCCTTGTCTGGTTCCTGAATTCAATGGGAATGCTTCCAGTTTTTCTCTGGATTTGTTGTATATAGCTTTAATTACGTTGAGGTATGTTCCCTCCAGTCCAGTTCCCTCTAGGACTTTAAACATAAATGCATGCTGAATTTTGTCAAAAGCCTTTTTTGCATCTATTGAGATGACAAATGTGGTTTTTGTCTTTGAGTTCACTTATATGATTACTGATGTTTATTGACTTGCATATATTGAACCATCCTCTGGGATAAAGCATACTTGATCATGGTCAATGATCTTTTTGATGTGTGTTTGTATGCAGTTTATTGACTTGCATATATTGAACCATCCCTGCATCTCTGGGATAAAACCTACTTGATCATGGTGAATGATCTTTCTGATGTGTGTCTGTATGTGGTTTGCAAGTATTTTGTTGAGAATTTTTGCATCTATGTTCATTAAGGATATGAGTCTATAGTTTTCTTCTTTGGTTGTGTCTTTACACAGTTTGGGTATTAGAGTGATGCTGGTTTCATAGAAGGAATTTGGGAGTCCTCCCTCTGTTTCTAGCATTTTGAATAATTTAAGAAGTATTGGTTGGATGTCTTCTTTAAATGTCTGGTAGAATTCTTCTGTAAATCCATCTGAGCCTGGGCTTTTTATAGTCAGGAGGCTTTGTATTACTGTTTCAATTTCCTTATATGTTATGGGTCTGTTTAAACTGTTAATCTCTTCTTGGTTTAACTTTGGAGGTTCCCATGATTTTAGATATCCATCCATTTCCTCTAGATTTTCAAATGTAGTAGCACATAGGTTTTCCCTTATAATGTTTTGAATTTAAGGGGAGAGGGTTGTCTGTTGTAATGTTTTCTCTTTCATCTCTGATTTTGTTGATTTAAAGTTTTGCTTTCTTTCTTTTGGTAAACTGGTCTAAGGGTCTGTCTATCTTGTTCAGCTTTTCAAAGACCCAGCTCTTAGATTCATTGATTCTTTGTATTGTTTTCTTTTTTTCTATTTCATTAATTTCTGTTATGATTGTTATTTCTTCTCTTATGCTGGGTTTGGTTTTCATTTGTTCTTGCCTTTCCAGTGCCTTGAGTGGCAGTGTGAGGTCATTTATTTAGAATTAGGCTATAGCTCTTCTTAAATTGAGCTTTGCCAGCTCTAAGGCCAACATGACCTTGATGGAACAATTCCTTTGTATAAACAAGAGGCTGAGAAAGGAATCTAAGTGGTTATCTGTGAAACTGACCAAATTACCTCTATGGATGTTTTAATTCTGATCTTACACCAGAATCACATAGAAGGCTTGTTCATACCATTTCAAGAGATTTTGGTTCAGATCTCATTTCTAAGTCCCTAAGAGACAGTATCTCCCTGTAGCCCCAGCTATCCTGGAACTCACTATGTACACCAGGCTAGGCTTGAACTCGCAGAGATTTGCCTGCCTCTGCTGGGATTAAAGGCATGTGCCACCACACCTGGCAAATCATTGCCATAGTAAGAGAATGACACAGGGAGCCTTAGATACCTCTTTCCGAGACCTTGGTGGAGAGGGGTGAGCTGAGGGAAAGTATGAAACTAAAAAATCAGTACTCAAAAGAAATCTCTTGTTCATATAAAGTCAATTAGCTGAGAAAGAGACTTCATGAAAGACCTGGCCCTCACAGTCATTTAAAGCAAGGACTCAAACTTGACTTTCACCATCTTATTTAGCTTCCAACACATGGGGGGAAGAAGGTAGATCACTCAGTAAATCTTTAAGATGTTTTTAAATTTTATTTTTATGTGTTTGAGCGTTTTGCCTGAGTGTATGGAAGTGAACTCGTGTCATACAATGTCTGTGGAGGCCTGAGGAGGGCATGGATCCCCTGGAACTGAATTTAAGGACAGCTGTTAGGAGACATGTGGGTGCTGGGAACAGAACCCAGGTCCTCTGCAAGAGCAGCTAGTGCTCTTAACTACTGAGCCATCTCTCCAGCCCCCATGCAGGAAATTTTAATAAGGCAGACCTACATTCCTATATCCACATATGTCACATGGCCTCCATAGATGCATGGCCTGATGTGGATGGGGAAAGGTAATACTTAACTGTTGCTGTATTTCAGCAACGTCTCAAAAGGAAACCTTTGGTATACAGCTATCAATTTCTGTAACCAAATCCTTCTCCCACTGCAGCCTTCAGCCTTAAGGAAGCCTGAGTTTAGATTTAAAGGAAATATGTACGGGGCTAGAGACAGCTCAGCAGTGAAGAGCACACAGTGCTCTTATAGAGGACCAGGGTTCTTGCTACCAGCAGCCACCACAATGGGTAGCTCACAACTGCCTGTAACTCCTACTCCAAAGGATCCAGCACCCTTTTCTGACCTTGGAGGGGACTGCATTTACATGCACAATGCATCCCTCCATCTCCATACCTCCACATAATTAAAAATGTAGCTAAATAAAAGGATATCTTCATGACTAAAATGAATGCATGAACTTAGTGATCAAGAATGTATTACCTAGTAACAAACATCAAAAAACTATGGATGCCTAACAAAGATTCCATGGAGGATAAGAAAAAAAAAAAATGCTGAGATAGTTTATAGGAACAGTCATTAGGAAAATAACATTTCTGTTTGGGGGTTTGTTTTTTTTACTATTTTATGTGTATGAGTGTTATGCCTGCATGTAAGTGCACCTGTGTCATGCAATGCCCTTGGAGGACAAAAGAGGCTGTCGGATCCCCTGGAACTGGAGTTATGGACAGTTGTTAGCTGCCATGTGGGTGCTGGAATTCAAACCTGGGTCTTCTGCAAGAACAGTGTTCTTAATCACTGAGCCACCTCTCCAGCCCCCAATTCCTGTTTTTTAAAGTCTAAACATTTCATAATTTCACACATACAGCTTGGATGTCTGTGGTGGTTTGAATGAAAATGTTCCCCATAGGCTTCAAGTATTTGGATATTTTGTCCCCAGATGGTGGCCATGTTTTAGGAAGAAGCATGTCACTGGGGGTGGGCTTAGAAAGTTCTTAAGCCTTGCCGGATCTCCAGTTGCTCCCGTTTCCTGTGCCTCCTGGAAGATGTAGAGCTTAGCTTCTGCTGCTCCTACTCCAGCCACCTCGGGCCACCATGCCTCCCTGCTATGATGGATTGTAATTCCCCTGGAACTGTAAACTCAAATAAACTCTTCTATAAACTGCTTTGGTCAGTGTTTCTATCACAGCAAAAGAAACGTGACTAATACAGTAATTGGTACCAGGCATGGGGTGTTGGCTGTGAAGAACCTGTCCATGTGGAGTTTTGAAGAAATGTAGAAGACTTTGGAAGTTTCGGCTAGAAAAGCGGTTGCTTGCTGTAAGCAGAGCTTAACAGGCCATTCTAGTAAACACCTAGAAAAAAGTAATGCTGAAAACAATGTAGTTCCAGAGGGAAATAAGGACTTAAGCAACACTTGGGATATTTTGGCAGAGTCTGGCCGGAGTCTGCCCTCAACCTAAAAGCTTGCCTGAGGCTAAGTTGAAAAGCAATAGACTAATTTCTCTGATGGAAGAAATGTCAAGATAGCCTAATGTACAAATGGTGGCATGGATACTAATGGTGAATATTATGCAGATCTACAGCGAAAAACAAATGGAGAAAGAAATAGTTTAGATTGAAAAAAAGCACTGGGAAGATAAATGTTGGAGCCTTAGCATGTGCTGGAGAGGATCCCTTTGATAAGGAGGTTAAAGTGACTAAGGAAGGGGCCTAGAGATTAGGATTTAAAAAGTGGAGAGAGTGCCTCCAGGGCAAGACCACACCCCATTAAGCCTCCAACTCAGGAAAAGAAAATGCTGCAGGAGCCCCTGAGAAAAGCTTCTAAAATGGATAAAGCAGGCTGGAGTCCATCCCAAACTTGCAATGAAATTTGACAGCACTGGCTTTAGAGGCATGAAAGATGCAAGAGTGAAGGGGTCATCAGTTCTTCCTCTGTGGTTTCAGAGCGCCTTAGAGGCCAAGCAGCATGCAGCAGGGGTACCTCTGCATAGAGAAGGCCCTGATAGGCCACTGCGTGAACCTGTGAAGGTAAAGCCTGGTTGGCAATAGAGACCCCAAGAAGACGTCTGTGATGCCACAGCTGTGAGGCATCTGTCAAGACCTGCATACAGGGAGTGATACCAGCACAAGAGAGAGATGTCTGTTGCACACAGCAAAGCTGGGGAGGCTGAGCCATCTGAGCCCTTTGGAAATAAAGTCCCAGAAGTTGGATATGGAGCTACTGTAGTTGGTATTTTCCCTGCTGGTTTTCAGTCTTGTTTTGGTCTGGTATTTCCTTACTATGCCTCCATTCCTCCGTTTTGGAATGGTAATATGTATTCAGTTCCACTGTATGTTGGGAGTATGTAATTTGTCTTTTGATTTTATAGAGGCTTACAGTTATTTACCTGAGTCTCAAAAGAGACTTTGGACTGTGGACTGAATAGTATTGAGACTGATAATGACTATGGGGACTTTTAAAGTTGGGCTAAATGCATTTTGCATTTTATATGGTCATGAGCCCATGGGGGCCAGAGGGTAGAATGTGGTGGTTTGAATGAAAATGTCCCCCATAGGCTCCAAATATCTGGACAGTTTGTCCCAGATGATGGTGCTGTTTTGGGAGGTTTTAGAAGGTGTGGCTATCCTGGAGGAAGCATGTCACTGGGGGTGGGCTTAGAGAGTTCGTAAGCCTTGCTGGATCTCCACTCGCTCTCATTTCAGGTGCCTGCTGGAAGATGGAGATAGCTTCTGCTGCTCCTGCTTCAGCCACCTCCAGCCAACATTCCTCCCTGCCAAGACAGACTGCAATTCTCCTGGAACCGTAAGCTCAAATAAACTCTTCCTTCTATAAATTGCTTTGGTCAGTGTTTCTATCACAGCAACAGAAAAGTAACTAATACAATGTCCTTTTATTCTTATAGCAAATAACTTTTATTAAAAAATGACAGGTCACCATTACCTTAAATTTTTATTTCAACTCCAAAAATAGGACTTTGCACACAACAGCAAATACGCTGCTTTTATGGTGATTATGCAAATATAACTCAGTTGCCTATGTGTACTCTGTCAAATTGCTGCCTATGGTATGCCAAAATTGAAAAAAAAAAATAAAGGAAAAATATCCCTTTACATTTTTAGTTATAACTTTTTAAGAATGTCCAAGAGAAAATATACCAATATATAATGCTATTTACTAAAAGGAGGAAAAAACAAAGAGAAATTCTCTTCATGGCCTTTCATTCATTTCATCAATTAGGACACATAAGGCAGCATCTTTCTCTATAATCTGGTCCCTCCTGTGACCTGAATTTTCTCTTTGTTGTTCACTCTGTCCAGGACAGTTGCCACTATCCTCAGCATCCATTGGCTCAGTTTTTACTCTCATTCCCGCTTCTGAATGGGGCAAATCATCAGGCAAAGAGGCCAAGCAATTTTGAATCATTTCAATGACTCGTTCCAGATGCTTCTGAAACCTCTCAGCTGTTTCAAGACGTTGACGTTTCTGGACCTCCATCATGACCCTCAAGGTCTCTCTTGCTTGGTGGGGTCGATATTCATTTATGAGATGATGTACGTGGACAAAGAGCAGTTTAAGATCCTCTAGCTTCTCTTCTCGTTTTATACTCCCAGGGCTCCTGATTAAGATATCTAAAAGGTCCAAGAAATTAATCAGTATAGACATATTGAGTTTTCTCAGTTCCTTCTTGTGATCAAATTGCATAGGATGAAGCCGTTCAATGCCCTGACTTTCCAAAGGGCGGATGATAAGATCATCACATTGGAACTGGTTGCCAAACATCATGTAACTGTCTTTAATTGGAGGGGGCGGCTTGGGAGCTAAGCCTTCCTGAATATTTTCATCTGTATATTCCTTGATGTACTGCATTGGAGGTGGTGGAAGTGCACTCACTTGCTGTGGCTCCCCCATTGTGGACGACCAAGAACCTAGAGATTCAGAGCAACAAGGATTCAGAGCAGAGCTATAAACAAACCCTTCCTATTAGCTACTGCAGGGCATCCCTTCATCTGCCTCCTTAGTCTCTAACATTTACAACAGGGAATAGCTTCCAATTCTTTTCTAAGTAAACACTGTTACCAACCATCCACATATTTTCTTTTATCTTATTTTTGCTTTTGAGACAGGGTCTCCCTGTAGCCCCCAGCTGTCCTGGAACTCTCTATGTAGACCAGGCTGACCCTGGAACTATGTAGACCAGGTCAACCTCAAACTCACAGAGATCCACCTGACTCTGCCTCCTGAGTGCTGGGATTGATTATAAGGCATGCACCACCATGCCCGGCTTCCTTTATTATCTTAATTCTTTCATCAGCATTTTTTTTTAAAGTTACATCTTTTCATCTGTAAAGAAAATCTGAGGGAACCAGGAAGCAGGGGGAAGCCCTGTATCAGTTGGGAATCTGCTGAGGCATAAGAAAGAGGGCCTTCAGATGGGCATATAGTGTCCTGTTTTTGCTTTGTGCCTAGGACCTCCTGTTGCTGGCACCACAGCAAAGCCATCCAGGAAAACCACCCCATTTCAGCAGGAGGGAACCCACCATCACAATGATGTGGATATGGTACATCTTCTAGAACAGTGATGGAAAGATGATGGCATAGAAAAATAGAAAAAGATCACCTAGAGCACAAGACACCCTCAACACCTGTCAATTTCTAAAAGATGGACTTGAGTAAAGCATATTGAAAATGACAAGGAGGGGGCTCTCGTGTTTCTCACTGTGTCACACAGCCTCACTGTGAAGGAGAAAATCACCAGCTTGTGCCAGGGAAGCCCATTCATCACCAACTACAATATTCAAAAGTTCACTGTGGGATCAGACCACATCATCTTCATGCTTCCCGAAAGGAGGTATGCCTCGGAGAGCAAGAACTTTTGAATTAGTCAAGACTTCTAAAGGGACAGGTGACCCTCACAAAGGAGGAGGAGGCAAAGAGAAAACAAAGCAAAGCAAGAGAAATGGGTAGCTGCGTGTGGCAGGGAAGGAGAGCTTCTCACCAAGTCTGTAAGATGGGGCAGGGAGTACAGAAGATGTACACCTGGGACTTGTCTTCTAGAAAGGGTCTACCATAGGTCCAGTTTGTGACAGCACCACTGTTATGACTACAAAGGTTTCTAGTGTGAAGGCAAGTTTTGTAACTGATAGTGGACACTGGCAAGTTTATGTTTACTGTAGAGTCACCTTTCATGGAAACCTGATTGTTGCTTTTACCAACTTAAATCTGCTGAGTCACTGACTCCCCAAATAACACTTTACTGTACCTGCTCTGGTCCCATGGCTTGCTGTGTCCCTGCTCTTAAGTTTCTATTAACCAAAAAGGCTATAGGCTCTCATCAGGTAAGCCTGTCAAACTTGTGCTCTAAGTGAACCAGACTGTTAATGGTGAAGGCATCATTTTCACTACAGCAAAGGAAAAAGAAGAAAATCTGAATCTGGGAGGGAGACATGGTGATGGGTCTTGGAGAAACTGGAAGGGAGTGGGGGACTGGGTGTGATCAAAACACAATGTATAGGGGCTGGAGAGATGGCTCAGGGGTTAAGAGCACTGGTTGTTCTTGCAGAAGACCTGGGTTCGAATCCCAGCACCCACATGGCAGCTAACAACTGTCCGTAACTCCAGTCCCAGGAGATCCAACACCCTCTTTTGACCTCCACGTGCACTGCATGACACAGGTGCACTTACCTACATGCAATAAACACATAAAATAAAATAAAATAAAATTTTAAAAAAAAGAAAAAAGAACTAAAAAAAAAGTCCAGGATGAGGTGCATCGAGAATCTCTAAGTTAGAAGGCAGTAGGCCCCTCCCTAGCTGGCAGCCAGCACCTACTTATCTAGGTGTTCTCAGTTTATCCAAGGGCTGAAAATTTAAGGCAGTGTGAGTGCAAAAAAAAAGGAGGAAATCTCAAGTCCTCCTTTAGATAAGGTTTTGCATCTTGAACCAATTAAGATGGGGATATTGAGGAGGGGCAATACTAGACAGTGGGAAGATTATACCTCCCTGAAGAACTCAGCCAATGAAAACTAAAGAGGGGCAGAGAAATGTGATATAAAAACCACTGTTCTGTGCTAGACTGGCGCACCAGCCACTTTTACCTTTTGTCTAGGCTAATGCTCAACTTCTACAGAAAAAGAGTAAATCATCTGACTTTTACTACTCTGAGTCTCCAGTAATGTTATTATAAAGGGTCCTTGTTTCTCACAATAGTTAGAAAGTGTCACTGTTAAAGAATGATGCAAAGTTCCTGGGCATGGTGGTGGACACCTTTAATCCCAGCACTCAGTAGGCAGAGGCAGGCCGATCTCTGTCAGTTCAAGGCCAGCCTGGTCTACATAGTGAGTTCCAGGACAGTTGGAGCTACAGGGAGACCCTGTCTCAAAAAGATTAAAAAAAAAAGAATGGTGCAAAGTAAGAACTATATCCTTACAGCCAAAAGAGTTTGTTTTGGTCTTTTGAGACAAAACTCGATATGGAGACTAGGCTGGCCTTGAACTTAAGAGATCTGCCTGCCTCTACCTCCCAAGTGCTGGCACTATGCCCAACCCATTTCTCTACTCTTATCACAGCCAAGCTATACATGCTGTCTACCAGTCTTATATCACAAATCCTTCTGCTTTTTATTATACACTGAGTGCTAACATCAGCACTTAAGACTAAATTTTTTTTAAAAACATCTATTTTTTTCGAGATGGGAGTGGTGGCGCACACCTTTAATCCCGGCACTCGGTAGACACAGGCAGGTGGATCTCTGTGAGTTCGAGGCCAGCCTTTACATAGTGAGTTCCAGGCCAACTGGGGCTACTAGTCTCAAGAAGACTCCCCCGCCAAAAAAAATTTTCATTATTTTTATTTTATGTGCATGAGTGTATTGCCTGCATGTATGTTAAGTGTGCCTGTGCTGTGCAATGCCCAGAGGCCAGAAGAGGGTGTCGGATCCGATGGAACTGGAGTTATAGACAGTTGTTAGCCACCATGTGGGTGCTGGGAACCAATCCGGGTCCTCTATTAAAGAGCAGCCAGTGTTCTTAACTACTGGATCATCTCTCCAGTCCCTAAAATTAAATACTTTGACAAAATCAACATTGCTATATTTTAGATTCCTCGTATTAAAGATTTTTGGAAGAAGCCATATTTTAGTTCATGGTACACTTTTGTATGAACACATTAACTTTTCTATTTGAATTTCAAATCTAAAATCAAACCCTATAACCTCTATGGTCACGATAACCTCTACTTCTCTTAAGTGCAAGAATACTACCCAACCAGAGAATTCCTGAGCACTTTTTCATAATTATCTGTTTCAAGATGCAGCACCCTCCAACATCAAGTGGGGCAAGTAACATGCTGGTAACAGTACTATTTTTGGCACCTGTGAAGTATGTGGGGCCATGGTACAGCTCTTGGTTTCATTCACCAAACCTCTGGGTGCACAGGATGGAGCTGAAAGTCAAAGGGGACAGCAGCCAGACGCCTGAGTCACTACATTAGCACATCAACACAGGCCATTACTTTACCAGCCTTCCCTGCAGTCATCATTTTGTCATTCTCCATCTAGCTTTAATGCTTTCACTCCAGCAAAACTGTTTATCAGTCATCCACAATCACATCACCACATCCCAAAGGGCATCTTTCTACCCTAATCTTTCAGCTGGGTTTTCTTCCTTCTTTATATACTACATTCTCGAGACCCTGTCTTAGCTTCTCTCATTCCAGCATCTTATTTGTTACTGTTTTTGACAAGCTCTCCCTAGCCCCAGACTGGAACTTGCTATGTAGAACTGCCTCTCCCTCCTCAGTGCTGGATCAAAGGTGGCCTCCGGGTCAGTGTCATTCCAAAATTCTTGTCTTCCTCCCCCTCACTAGCCACTGCTTTCCACCAGCCTCTCCTCATGTTGACAAGAGCATGCCTCTGAGCCTTCTTCAGCTAGCAGGGTCTCAATGTCAAACTCTATCATTCCACAGATGCTAGCATCCCCTATGTGGAAGGTTCTGGAGTCAAGCAGGGATTTCATTCTTAGTTTCTTCAGAGTGGGTTACCCCAGTTTCAGAGGTAGGCCCACAGCAAAAAATGCATCTGAGATGGAGTTCCTTTTACTTTAATATATGAAAGTAGAAGACATCTTAAGACTGCAGCATTCTCTTAGGGGCTAAGAGTCCTACCCAGGAAGACATGAGGAAATTCTCAAGCACAACTGACAGACTAGTAATTACATACACGTGGAATTTGATTTGCTCTAATCACAGTTTTAAAGGCTGGTATTCTCTGAACCAATTCCACATTCAAAAATCTACCTAGGAGAGCAACAGTGATGCATGCCTTTAATCCCAACACTCAGGAGGGTAGAGGCAGGCAGATCTCTGAGTTCAAGGCCAGCCTGGTCTACATGGTGAGCTCCAGGCTACCCAGTTATAAACAATCCTATAAAAATACAGCCCAAATACAAGCACAAAGACATATACAAGGATGTTTAATGGAGCACTGCTTGAGAAGAGAAGGAAATGTTGGGTGTCATTTATCCTTTCATCAGTAAGAGCTAGATAAAATATATCTACAAATACAAGATGGCCCCTAAGAAAACATGTTTGGAGTTGTTTATAAACATGTGTCATTTCAAATTATTTCAATTTTCCAAGCTTCATTTAGTTGTAGTTACAACTTTTCAAACTCTGACATACCTTCACTCACAGGAAAGCTGAGAGGGCACTTCAGTCTTCAGTCAGATTTTCCAAATGTTAACATTTTCGCTCATCCGCTTGTTTTCTCATCCCTTTACTCCTAAATAATCACAGCGTCTACCTAAAAGAAGAAGGACTTCTTACAGCCACAGCAAGACAACCCACACGGACCATACTTAAAAATCAAACCTTTCATCTCCAGCCTCCAGGTTGGGAGTCCCGCTTCCTTCACCACGCCCAGCACTAACTAGACTTGCCATTTTTCATAGGCCAAGGACATGATGACCATTAGTCGGAACCGGAACCAAGTACGTGATAACCATTAGTCCCAACCAAGTATGTGATGACCATAGCTTTTACCGTTCCCTTTTATAACAATTCTACAGTAACTATCACCAATTTCATTTTAGAGATGAGGCTCCCAATTTGCAGTGTGAAAAACTGTTTGAAATTAAATTACGTAGTTCAACAGAGTTTATTTTGGGGGAGGGGCGTCTTTTTGAGACAGGGTCCCTTGTAGCCCCAGCGGTCCTGGAACTCACGATGTAGACCACGCTGGCCTCGATCTCAGGGATCCTCCTGCCTCCCGAGGGCTGGGATTAAAGTCGCGCACCCGGCTCCAACAGGAATTCTTAATCCGGGTTCTTTGACTCCAAAGAGGAACTCCTCGTATGATGCTACCCCCCACCAGATGAAGAGGAGCGGGGCGTACTACAGAACCGCCACTCATCTTATTTTTACTAAAACCGGCGGCAAGCACTGTACTTCCCAGACTCTCACTTTCAAGCGCTTTCGGGGGAAAGGCACAAGGTCCTCCGAGGCTGGCACCTTGGAGACTCGACCGTGTCTACGGGGACCCTCCAGAAGAATCGGTACAGGCTGGGGTCCTCTCTGCTCCCCACCTCGCCCCATCACACGTCTGGCTAAGGCCAGGTGAAAAGCCCGCGGCGTGGGGACTAGCACTCGGGCCTGCCAACCTCCCGTCCGGCTCGTCCCGCGCAGAGCCCCCAGCGGGCCGCTCCCGCACCTTCGGCCGGCCGCGCGCTCCAGGCCTCCGGGAGACTCCGCCAAGGACGTGAGGAAGCGCGCGAGCACCGGGACGCCGATCCACTGAGGCGGAAAGTAGACACGACCGCTACGCACGCTCGCCGCCGCAGCCAGCTCTCTTCCGCCAAAGCTTTTCCGGTAGCGGCTTGCCTTAGCGGCTTCGAAGCCCGACTTCCGGTTCCCTCCCCGGACGAAGCCTCTGGTGCTAGCTTTTGATTGGCTATCACTGCTGTCCTTTAACCGAGTCCCGCCTTAAGGACATTGCGCCTGCGCGCATCCCACGCTCCCGCTTTTCCAGCGTTGTGGTTCCAGGGGCGTTCTCTGCTTGGGCAGCTCAGGTCCTGAGTGTTTTTGTTCGTACTTTGTCAGTTCAAGTAGTATCTAGTAATTCCATTCGTCGCCGCTTCCACTTTTAATTGGAAAGCTTACAAGTAAACAAGGGATCTTGTGAAAGTCAGAAAATATGGATAGGCAGTACATTTTTAAGTTATATCAACACTAACCTCGCCATCAACAATGTTTGAAAAATAAGGTTGAACTCTTTATAACATATATGTAGGAATATTTGTGAACATGATCGGTAATAACATTCTGACTCCATTTCTTCCATATCTTTTCACTTTTATTTTTACCTAGGAATTCAGAGATGTCTATTATAATGTTTTCAGGCTCCAAATTGCCAAGTTTGAAAAAAAAAAAAAAGAAATATAGTTTTTAAATATTGAGACAATTTCATTATGTGGCACAGGCTGGCCTCAGACTTCCCATATTCAGCCTCAGGAATGCTTGGAATCCAGGAATGCCCCACCAGACCCAGCAATTAAATGTTCATTTTGGAGGTTATTTTTACAAGAATTGTAACAAGTTTCTAAATTCCTGGGAGGCTTGGGAAAGCATGCTGCACGTAACTAGTAAGATAAAAAGAATGTTATTCTGATAAAAGTTCTCAGCTTTGCCTCTTTAAAAATAAGATTTACTCTCTGCTCAAATACATGGAGAATTCCAGACAAACAAAAGTACAGTGCAGTCTGCTACCCCCAACTTTATCAGTTATCAGCTTATAAACAGCCTTTCATCTCTATTTCAACATCTGTCTCTGAAAGGTAAGAACTCTTTATTTTTTCAAATATGCGTGAAATTACTGTCTTATTTAAAGATATGGTAATAGGCCTGAGGACCTAGTTTAGTTGGTAGGGTGCTGGCCTAGAATACATTGAAACCCTGGGTCCTGTTCCCAGCACTGCATGATGGGACAGGCTTATAAGCCCAGCACTTGAGATGTCAAAGGAGGAGGGTCCAAAGTTTGAGGTCACCCTCACCTAATTGTTCAAAGTTACCTTAGGTTATACAAGACCTTGTCTCAAAAGAAAAGACCTTTTTAAAGATAAGTTAATAATTCCTAATCATCACCTACTAGATCAGTATTTGGATTCTAATTGTCTCAAGTTCCAATTAAGATCTGCCCCCCCCCCGTCTTTTTTTGAGGTTGTTTGGTTTTGGTTTTGAGACAGGATCTCACTAAGTAGCTCTGGCTGGCGTGGGACTCACCATGTAGACCAGGCTGGCCTCAAACTCAGAGAGATCCACCTGCCTCTGCCTCCTGAGTGCTGAGACTAAAATCATGTGACACCAAGCGTACATAGATCTTTGTGACCTTTTAATTGCCTTTTCATCTTTGCATTCCGCCCTTCCATTTCAGTTTTTCCCCACGTAAACTTTTTTGTTGAAGAAATCCATCCACTTTGGGGCATGCCTGAGTCAAGTTTTCCTCCTAACTGCTGACACCACCATGTTCTATAGGAAGCTTCCGATATGATTTCCCATCCTCACTGTATTCCTTTTGTCAGCGCCCTTTGGCACAGTTGATCATTTCGACAGCTTGGGACCCAAACCTCTTCTCAGTCAGAAACCTTCCACATGGCAACATGTAGGAGGATTCATGTGGACCCTGGAGCCCCATCTCTACACTTCTGGCCCTGTAGAAAACATCTATGTGCTGGGCATGGTAGCGAACGGCTTTAATCCCAGGACTGGGGAGGCAGAGGCAGGCAGATCCCTGTGTGTGAATTTGCGGCCGGCCTGGTCTACACAGTGAGTTCCAGGTCAGCTGGGACTACACAGAGACCCTATCTCAAAAAGACAGAAAAAAAAAAAAGAAAGAAAGAAGAAAGAGAAAAGAGAGAAAAGAAACCATCTATACCCACTACCACTATACCCAGCTATACTTCTTTACCAGTACTCCCAGTACTCCACTGGAACCACCATATCCACTTTTTAAATTAGTTTTATTTTAAAATGTTTCAAACCTGAGTCATTTTTGCCATTCCCACGGCTGTCATCGTAGTCTCTGCCGCCATTCTTTCGCATCTTTCTCATTCTGCATTAGCACCAGTGTGAATGAACTTTAAGAACAAGTCGCAACAACCCAGACCCTTTACAGCAGGTGGGAGGAGAGGCAGCTCGCGTTGCCCAACACATTTTTACCAGCAGGGGGCAGAAGTAACCCTGGCATTTGGGAGCGAAGGCACCGCCCCCCCCCCAATTTAGATTTTCTTAACAGGAAGATTTGTGTCCCACATATATGGGTCCAGCTGAGAGGGACATTGCCAGTTATTTCTTGCAGGATGAAAAACAAAAAGGCAGGTAAGTCCATTTGGATTATTTACAGTAGCCATTTCTGTTAAAGTACATTATTTACATTATTATGTGTCATTTCACCAAAGAAAAATAGCCATGCCTTTGTCATAACTTTGTAAGATCTTTGCAAAATTTAGCAAGTTTATTGGTTGATTTCTTAATCAATTTGCTCCAAACTTCCAAAAGAATCTGGGCTATATCCAGTCCACTTAAAGTCCCTGTATAAGGTCCATGTCAAGTGTAACTTCTCTAAAACTTTTCTCCAAGTTTACCCAAATAAGTTACCTTTTTGTTTGCTTACATGTGTATGTATGGCGTATATGTGTGTGAATGTATGCATGTTTGTGTGCATGTGTGTGCACACCCACCTGTGCAGGCCAGAGGTGGATGTCTGGTGTCTTCACTATTGCTGCCCCCTTAGTTTTTGAGACAAGATCTAACTAAACCTTCAGCTAGACTGGCTGGCCAGCTAACCCCAGGACCTGCTTGCCTCTGACCCCTTTCCCCGGCTCAAGTTTCACACACATTCTGCCACACCTGGCTTTTACATGGGTCCTGGGCATGGGAACTCAGATATTCATGCTTGCACAGGGAAACACTACCCACTTAGCCATCTCCCAAGCCCCCTACAAGTTACTTTCATATCCACCCATAGCCTCTTTTTACCTCAATTTAATTTTTTAATGTTTTATTAGACTATGTTAAATGTGAAAAATGAAGCAGATAGCATACTTTGATAATATTGAGCACCTGGTTACTTTCTCTTATATCTTATAGTTCGTCTTTTAATATCATGTCCTTTTCTCCCTAGAAGCCACATATGAGAGAAAACACAGGATTTTGTCGTGGGTCCTGAAGTGCATAAGAAGGAGAAAGCTACTTGAGCACACGTACCAACCATCCTCTTCTTCCAGGCTGTGAATGCAACATGACCAGCTACTTCAAGCTTCTGCCTCCTTGGCTTCCCAGCATGATGGAGTGCTAGAACTGTGAGCCAAAATCAACTCTTTCTTCCTTTAGTTACTTTGTCAGGTGTTTTATCACAGCAATGATGCAGGTAACTAATACACGGAGAAAATCATATCAGAGCCTGAGGGTCTTGCTTCCATTGGAGGTTTCACAAGGGTGGGACACTCCTGTTAGACAAGGCAGATGTGTTTCAGACAGTGGAGTATATGGGATACACCATCTACCATGACTCCTCTAGTCTTGTCAAGAATGAATAGTCTGTTCCAGGCCAGCTGGGGCTACAGAAAGACCCTGTCTCAAAAAGACAAAAAAAAAAAAAGAATGAATAGTCTGAGGGGTATAGGAATGTCCTATAGTGCAGTCCTTTGCAGTGCAGTGTCCATAGTCTTACGCTGTTGTCATAGGGATGGATGACTGAGAATGGGCCTTCAGGTACTCCCCCCTCCCCCAGAGCTGTGCTTACTTAGAGCCTACTTATCAGTTTGGGGTTTTTAATCACACCTATTCTGTGAGTTAAAGTATTCACTGATGTTTGAGAAGTGGTGAGTTGTATAGAGGGCAGTGTAGACTCTTATCTGGGTTTGAAGTGTAGCTCAGCCAAAGTATCTGCACTATACACTTAAGTGTCAGTGCCTAATCCCAAGCATTATGTCAGGGGGAAAGCAGAAGTAACAGCAACAAACGGCAGTGACCCCAATGCAGAAATGAAGGAAGAACCAAGTCCTAACTACAACATCCACGACTCCATAACAGTAACAAGAATGATAGCAGCAGAAATTACATAAATTTTAAAGTTTTAAAAGATGATGAAAAAGAAAAACATCGAGAGGAAATTAAGGAGGGCAATGGAAAGCAGCAGTAAAGTTAGAGAAAGAAGGAAAGTGTTAGCTGTTAGAAGAAAAAGTAATAGCAAAAAAATCATAAAAGAATAGTTTAAAAGTAAGTGTGCTTTAGCCTGGTGTGGTGGTGCACGCCATTAATCCTGGCACTCAGAGGCTGAGGCAAGTGAATCTCTGTGAGATCGAGACCAGCCTGGTCTACATAGTGAATTCCAGGTCAACTGGGCTACAGGGAGACTCAAAAAGACAAAAAAAAAAAAAAAAGTAAATATGCCTTTAAACAGAGGAAAAAATATACATGTATATATACATATACTCACAAATCAATCAACAAATAAAAAAGGGGAGTTGTGGGGGTGGCGGGCCTGTGAGTTTGATCCCTGGAACATACGTGGTAGAAGACAGGGAACTCATACAAGTTGACCTCTGGCCTCTGCAGGCATGTCATCACATGCACCCCTGTGCACAACACACACACACACACACACACACACACCCCACATATACAAACAAAACAATTTTTTTTTCTTTTGAGACAGGGGCTTCCTATAGCCCCTGCTGTCCTGGCACTGGCTATGTAGACCAGGCTGACCTTGATCTCACAGAGAGCCACCTGCCTCTGCCTCCTGAGTGCTGGGATTAAAAATGTATGCCACCACACCTGGCACTTTAAATTTTTTTAGAAAGTCCTACAGACAGACTTGGAAGCATTCTCTTCTGGGTGGT